CAAGAATTCGCGCCAAAACAAAGCTAAATGAAAATACCGCAAAAATGCAAGCAATCTTAATGTAAATAAAAGAAATCTGTTTGTGCTTTCAAATTTAAAAATTAATGTGTATTTAAAAAAAAAAAATTTACCTATATTTTATTTATTTTTTTTTGTTTTTTAGGGCGGTAGTTGTTTTAGCTATGAAAAATCAAAACAATAAAAAAAATCAAATCAATAAGAAAAATCAAATCAAGAAGAAAAAGATTATTGTTTAATGAAAGTAAAAGGACCTTTTAATGTAAAATTTGTTTATGACTTTTATCAGACAGTAATACTTTAAAATTCACGATAAAACTTTAATTAATTTTAATTAAAGTTTGCTTATTTTGCAATCATTAATTAACATTGTGAACGAGTGTTAATATATAATAATGTCCCAAAGGAACTGTTTTCGTAACAATGACATCAGAAGCAATGCAAATATTTTTAACTTCTTTCGTAATTACAAAATTATGCAATTGAATAATTTCAACGTAATAAAAGACCAAAATTGACTCAGTATAATCAGTTTAAAATAAGTCGAGAGAGAACTTTTTTCACATAAAAATTTTGTTATCTTTAAAATCTCAAATAATATATTTAAAAATTAAAACAGCAATTTATTTTCTTTCTAAGTATTGGGGAATAAAGTCATTGCCTTTGCATAAACCTTCGTAAAAACTAAATTAAATGAAAAAATTTAATCAAATTTGTCTAGGGTAAATAAAGAATCAGTTTTTTAATACATTGTCTGATAAAGTTAGTGAATAAATTACGTATCAAGTCCTTTTTATTTTCGTGAAAACTTTATGAGTTATTGTCGTCTTTTCCTTGACTTGTATCAAATTTCGTAGCTGAAAATAGCAACCCTAAAAAAAGAAAACAAAAACAGTATAAAAATTTTGAAAAAAATGTTCAGGACTTTTTTTTTTTTTGTTACAAGATTTTTTTTTTAAAAATTTTTTTTTTTTATTATCAAAGTATTTTTCTTACATCCAATTTCAATTTTATACTTTGTTTAGACTTCGTTTCCTTTTTTTTAATAATATTTTTTATTCTCTGTGGATAAGTTCCGCTTTCCCACGAAATATTGCAGCGGTCACGTTTTTCTGAAAAATTTATTCTATGCGTGGGACAAAACAAGGCGTGCGGACCGCACGCCTTTCCTGGGAAAGCCTGATATATATATATATATATATATATATATATATATATATATATATATATATATATATATATATATATACAGGGCTCAATTTAACAGTCGGACATCGAACATTGTCCAGCTAAAACCTCAAATTGTCCGATCAATTTACAAAGTAATCGGACATTTTGACTGAAGGGAATTAAATTCTACAAAATAAATACTTTAGTGTATATATATAAAAATTAAAATTAAAAGTAAAGTAAATTAAATATAAATAAAAAGTTTTAAAATAAAACTCAAATAACTGTGAGTTAAAATTATCTTTTGTTATGTTTTTAATTGCGTTTGAAATAAATTACTTTATAACTTATTTATTGAAACATTTTATTAAAGTTATAAATTACTTCTATTAATAGTTTAATAAATAAACAAATTTTATTTAAATTATTGAAAAGTGAATTTAAGTCATTGAAAAGAAAAAATATAGAATTTTTAAGTTGTTTAAATATTTTTTTCAAAAAGTTGCAAAAAAAAAAAAAAACCATTGTTTAAAAAAACAACGTCTTTTTAAAATAATTTTAACCATTTTTTGATTAAAATTCAAATTTAAAAAAACAACAATTCCTTTGTAAAAATTTAAACGAAAAAAAAAAAAAAACTTGAATTAAATCTTGGGAAGATTTAATTCAAATTATTCATAATTCAAAGTAACTTGAAAATAAAAATTTTTTAATAAAAGATTTTTAGAAAAACTTTTCATGATAAGTTTAAATGTTTGAAACTATTTTAAAAATAGTTTCAAACGTTTAAATTCATTATAAAAAATACATACCTACTAAAAAAAAAATTAAATATAACATTTAATTTACAAATAATGCAGTTATTTTAAGTTATAATTTTTGATTTTATTTAAACTTTTTAAAAGTTTTGATTTTATTTAAAGTTTTTAAAAGTTTTTAAAGTTTTTATTTTACGCCTTCACAGAAAATAAAAACTTTAAAAAAGATCAATGATTAAAAGTTATTTGTAATGTAATACTGAATAATAATGAAATACTGTTTAATATAACTATAACATGTCTAGTTTGCAAAGTTGTTTATAAAAGATTAGCATTATAGATGTAACTAAGAATAAAAATTATTTATAAAATTAACTGGATAATAATTTTTTATAATTGCACATCTGTTGTTTTTAAACTGATAGCTCGTGTAAAACCGAAAGCTCCTGTAAAAAGCTGTTTAGAGGAGAAGCTCATGGCTTTGTTTTAGAAGAGCTTTTCTCTGCTCTTGCACTTATTTACTGCTGCTGAAGAGTAAAAATGTTAAAAAAAATGTTCTGATAAAAATACTCAACTTGGGCTGATGTTAAACACATCTAGCTACTGTCTTGTAGAAGACCTCCCAGGCAAAGACTTAAGGGGTAATCCGATTGATCTTTTCACCAGCTTTGCATGCCTTCCTTTGAACAGCCTCGTGATGAAGGTACAGCTCTAAATCTCAGTTTTATGGATCTTAGGCCAGCTGGTAGTCAGGTTTCTCAAACTCTGTGGTAACTCTCAGAGAGGCTGATTCCACCAATAGCTGTAAAATATCAGAGTACTAACAGTGCCATGTTGCACATGGATAGTGTCCCTGTTCATGTATTTGGAGCCTTTTGTTACAGCTGAAGTTATATTACTAGTAATGAGGCAATTGCTTGGAATGTTAGATAGTGTACTGAGTACTATCTGTGCTTTGAGTCAAGTTCTTTTAAACAATTTAAAAAACGATTTTACCCATTTGTTGAGAAACTAGGTTTGAATCCACAGACAATTCTTTTATTATTATATTCATTTAGTACAGTTTCACTTTATTGCTTTTCTCATTGTTTTATATCGCTCTCATTCATCTCAAGACTGCACTCTTTTTGATGTTATTTCTAATCTAATTGACCAACACCTTTTTGTTTATCTTTCAGCCAATATCGTTGTTGTTGGTGACTTTAATTTTCATCACACTAAGTGGCTTGGTTCTAGTGTCAGTGATACTGCAAGTGTTAAGGCCCACAACATTTGCCTTACCCAATCTCTAACACAAATAGTCTAACACAAACTTTCCAACTTGCTTTCCAGACAACCTGAATCATTTATTTTCTCATATGGTCTTGTGTCTTGTTTCTGATCCTAGTTAGTGCTCAGTTATTGCACATTCACCTTTAGTTGCTTCTGATCACAGTTTGATCTCTCTAAAACTATTATCTCATTCATCTTCTTTATTAGAGCCCCCCTATCATTGTACCTTTTACAACTACTTTAAGGCTGGCTGGAATTCTTCCTGTGACTTTCTTTCTAATGGCCCTTGGGAAGATTTTTTTTGTCTTCCTGCTAACAAATGTGCTTCTTATGTAACTTCTTGGATTCTGACATGGAATCTTTTATTCCCTCTTGATGATTCTAAGTCAAGCCTGACTTTTCTCCATGGTTTTCTTATTGTGCTGCTGCAATTTCTAATCATAACCGTTACTTCTGTATCTATTGTCAAAACATTTATCCATAAAACATACATGTATTTAATATTGCTAGAAACCATTGTTAAAAGGTTTTGTCTAATGCCTAAGCCCACTATTCTCAGGTTACAAAATCTTTTATTTCATTTCAAAAATTAGGCTCCAGACACTTCCGTAGAATCTTGAACAGTTTCTATAAGGGCAAATCTGTTATTCCATCTCTCTTACATGGTTCATATTTTGTTACCTCACCTAAATACAAAGCTGAATATCAAAGCTGAGAATCACACCTACCTGATAAAGCTGAGAAACAGTTTGATCCATTGCTTAACATTTATATCAGTCAAGTTTCTGTATCTAGAGTGATTTCCTGCATAAGCTTTTCAACAGCTTGTATGGATAACATACCTGTTTTAGTCTTGCAGAAGTATTCTTCTGAGCTGTTGTCTATACTTTCAAAACTATTAAACAAGAGCTTATCAGGGTCTTGTTTTCCAGCCTGTTAAAAAGTGGCATCTGTTATCCTTATTTTTACAAATTCTAGAGAGCGATCTGACTCATCTAACTACTGTCCCATTAGTCTTCTTCCTATCATAAGCAGGGTTTTTGAGTCTTTGATTTACAAACACATATATTTGTCTATGTATGTCTATATATATATATATATATATATATATATATATATATATATATATATATATATATATATATATATATATATATATATATATATATATATATATATATATATATATATATATATATATGTATATATATATATATATATATATATATATATATATATATATATATATATATATATATATATGTATATATATATATATATATACATATGTACACATATATATATATATATATATATATACATATATATATATATATATATATATATATATATATGTGTAGATATATATATATATATATATATATATATATATATATATATATATATATATATATATATATATATATATATTAACAATTCTACCAAAAAATAAATGTATATTACCATCATCTAGCTCCCATTTATGGCTTAAGAGCTGCCCTATCAAGTTTCCATTTTTCAAAATTACTCCTAAAATTCGTTTTTGTTTTTCATCAATATTAACAAAAAGAGGATTTGTGGTTTTGGCATTTTCAGCTATTGCTCTTTTAATATCCTTCTCTAGTCGCTTTCTTTCCAGACGCTCTTTTTTTAAATTAGCTTTGGCGCATCTTTTTCCTATTTCTTCATACAAAAGATTATTAAAATTTTTAGAGGCTTGTCACGTTAAAGCTCCTCTGCGAATTACAAATTTCTTCGAAATGTAGAAAATCAAAAATAAGATCTTCTTGTTCTGGCAATGTTTTCTCATCAAGCCATGTTAATGTTTTGTTTACCCTGGCTTTTATTTTAGAATCCAGAAAACCAAAAGTAGCATTAGGAGCACGACGCAAAAAAAAAATCAAGCATGCCCAAGATCCTTTCAGCCTCCATTGTATGAGGTGGAGCAGATAGTGTGGTTTTTATCATTTCTTTAGATGGATTTGAGAGATTGCCAGTCAAATACCTGGCCATCTGTCTTTTGAGAACTGTCTCTGTGTAGCTTATTAAAGCTGATAAAATCTTTACCAAAATATTTTTATTTTTTATTACACGAAGGGATTGGTGTACCTTATCTTTTTTGATATTTAATACTTGACTAAAAATATCCACATCTGTATAAAGAATTGATTCTGGATTACTTTTGAAGTAAGCTAATTTCCTTATTGCTTTCTGGAAAATGTCACCCTATTAAAAAAATAATTTTTGTACATTTTTTAAACTACTTTATTTGTTTATTAGAAAACCTTAAAAACTTACAAACTCAAGATTACTCTTTCCTGTTGCATTTTTATCAACCAGACTCATCCATGGCCCAGTTATTATTTTTCCTATCAGGCCCAACCCTTGCAGTTGCACAAGCGTTATATCATTACTCATATCTTGAAGTAAGAGTTGGCAAATTTTATTTTTGGTGTTGCTAGAATAACGAGAAAATGTTAATACATAGAATTCTATTAAAACAAATATTCATCTAAAAAAAACTTATTTTTAAGAAAGGTTCTTATAAGTCTTTCGTATGTAACAACAATCCCTGCCATATGGAACAAAACATGAAATCTACTACCAACATATCTAAGGAATAGCCCTGGAGCAACATTGTTTTTTTTAAGATAGCTTTTGAATGCTGCAGGATCGCCTTTAAAACTATACCTGATTTTTAAAGAGCAAAAAAATTAAAATTTCAAATTTTCAAAACGTGGAAATAATAAAGAAATAATTGCTCACAAGAAAATAAAACTAAAAAAAAATTTAAATAATGAAAGATATACATATAAAAGATTACCTTAGCTTAGAAATATTTTTGAGGACTGTTACTGCAACCCCATCAGTTCCTTTAGCTGGTTTTATATTCAACTCATTATCTATTGTTTTAAGAGCTAATAATGCTTTTAAGGCAATAGTTTCCAATGGATGAACATTGCAGTACAGTTGTATTAATTGAATGTCCATCTCTTCCTGAAACATGTTTTTCACACAACTATTAACAGGTGCTCTGTCTGACAGACAACTTTTGATTTTTTGAGTGAAAACATCTAAAACTTCTACTGCTGGCATATTTTTAAACTCTGCAAATGTATTGGCAAGTTCTTTTATTACACTGACAATATGAGTGGCTCAGTCAAATCCTGTGCCTCCAGCAAGTTTAGCGGTTGATAAGTAATAACATCTCTGCGGAGGATAGGTACTGATAAGGAACTCATTTACATGTTTGTCTAAAACGGTGGTTGCATCAAACACTACTGTTGCACATTCACAATGAAAAAGTGCCTCACTAGCCTGAACCAATGCTAAAACACCTGGCTCATATGCCATTCGATTTACTGTGGATGAGTGAGGTGTTTCTTGCAGTTCTGTGTTGTGTAACAGTTCAGAAATTTTTTCTAACAAAAATGAGACGCTTTCCACAGGCACATTGTTAATAATAGCAGCATAAACACATTTTCTTATGGGTATGTCATATGTTTTTAATTTTTTGGTTTCTATAAGTAACCTATTATCTTTTTTTTTTTCTAAAAACAATACTAGTTTAATAATGATTTTGTTCTACAAGTTGTTTATTTTCTTGCTCTTTGATTTTTATCTGTTCCTGTAATTCTTTGATCGCAATTTTGTGTTTCTTTTCTAACATTTTGTTGCAACTTCGTTCTACTTATTTTAAGAATTCTCAATTCATTAATGAAATCTAGAGAATGAAACTTATTCTGTTGAACTGTTTTTTTTTCTTTTTTCTTCTGAATATTTCAATTTCCACAAATTTAGTGAAAAATACTGTCTTTTAAATTTTTTGTTTGTAAGCTTGTTACAGGTCATTGATTTTTTCAAAAAACGAACTCTCTGCTGCAATTTTCTGTTTTTTTCTTGTAAACTACGTATTTCATCTTTTTTTATTTTGCATGAACCACACTTTACTCTCTGCATTGTGTCTGAAGCAATATTTAAATCACTTGCAACGTTTAAGTGAATAATTGTATTAGAACTATTTCTTTTTCTTTCATATTTAAATGGTTGCTGCAAAAAATTAACAATAGCAGCCCATGACTGGGTAGGGTTTTTTTTAAAGATTTTTATCTTTTTATGCAAGTATCTTATATTGTTGGAGAATATTTTAAAATAAGATGCATTTTGAGGTCTAATGTTCAGTTGTTTTAATTTCAGACAAGTTTTTGATAATTTGAAATTATTTTCAGAAAAAATTTTGTAAATGTCACCATTTAACAAAGGCTTCGATTGGCATTTATATGAATTAATTAAAACGCAAATATCTTTTGCAGTCTTGTAGTCCATCTAAAGTAAAGAAAAATACAAAGCAACAATGAAAATAATTTAAAAAATGGCGCTATAATCAATACATTATTTTGCGGTAGCAACTGTATGCATCTTTTTTAAACAGGAAGGAGATTTTAAAGTATCGGTTATTATATAATAAAATGAAAGATCTATGAAGAATTTATTTGAGCATGTCAAAATCATTTATGAGCATTTGTATTGGTATATTAAATTCTTTATATGAAAATTACCTATTTTGGCAGGATTCCTTAACAGTGAAAAAATCGCAATTTTTTGAAAATTGTATAACTATAAACAAGTTTAACCTTCACTTTAAACGAAAAAATATAACAAAAATTGACACTTTATTTTTTAGCTAGCTTTTAAACACTCTTTCCTTTATGGATATAGCGTAGTTTGGAAAAACACGGAAATTCAGAAACTTTATAAAAGCGATGTCAAAATAAAAAAACGGACGCATACGAGGGTACCTATATATATATATATATATATATATATATATATATATATATATATATATATATATATATATATATATATATATATATATATATATATATATATATATATATATATATATATATATATATATATATATATATATATATATATATATATATATATATATATATATATATATATATATATATATATATATATATATATATATATATATATATATATATATATATTATATATATATATATATATATATATATATATATATATATATATATATATATATATATATATATATATATATATATATATATATACATACATACATAGACATAACATAGAGAAAATCGAGGGCTGCAATCACTAGTTCAGTGAGCAACTCTTGATCATTCTGTAACTACACCATTACTGCATTTTAATTTTGTTTTTATTTCTAAAAAAATGTTTAAAAAAAAAGCAAATTGTCTCATTTAGGTCTCTTATGTTGTTTCAATTCATTTATAGGTATCCTGCACGAGTTGTTAAAATAAAATCTGATGAGAAGATGATACTTGTTCATTTTGAAAGATGGAGTTCCCGGTTTGATATTTGGCTTCCTTTTAATAGTGATCAAATAAGAATGCTCAAGTGTAATAAAACTAAAGAAAAGGTTTTCATTTTTTATAAAAATATTATTCATTTATATATACATACATATATATATATATATATATATATATATATATATATATATATATATATATATATATATATATATATATATATATATATATATATATATATATATATATATATATATATATATATATATATACATATATAGCATTGGATAAAACTGTGTATCTACAGTATATTTTTTTTAAAGAGAAGATTAAAACTTTATATTTATTTGTATTGTAACATTTTATGTTTAATTGTATACACACCCTCTGAGTTTTTTTTTCTTAAAGATATAAATTTGTTTAGAAATGGAGGCTAGGTGACAGAATTGTTGCTAAATGGGGACCAGCTGCGAAAATGTATCCTGCCACAATTTCAAAGTTTGTATCTGAATGTAAGGTTTTGAAATCTTCTAAACATACAAACACTTGTTAAAGTTTAATAATCATTTGTAATTGCCTAATGTAATTATAAAATTATCTTTTTTATTTATTCATAGTTTTTATGTAGTTCTTAGAAATGTTTTAAAATTGAACAGTTAGTGCATGTAATCTTTAAAAAAATTTTTATTTTCGACATTATTCATGATTTTTTATGCTAACTTAAATTTTCAGGAAAGGATAGAAATTTTTTTTTAATTTTCTCTTTTTGGATATACATAATAATAATAATCTACACATTTTTATTTTTGAATCATGCACTTTAATCCACTCACTAGAAAAAAGGAAATAAAAAATAAAAATAACTTATTTTTCATTATTCACATAATATAAGTTCAAATAATATCAAATAAGTCAACTTAGGATAAAATAGTATCAAATAAGTCAACTTAGGATTAAAGTTAAGTTAACTACAGGTTAAGGTTAAGTCAACTACGAGTTAAAGTTAAGTAAACTATGGTTTAAGGTTAAGTCAACTTGGGGAGAACTTTAATGATTGAGACAGATTGAATAGGAAAAAATCAAATTTGCATAGAAACAACTACAGTTAGGTATTCAAACTCCTATAACAAGAAGTGTTAGACACAGCCATTCAACAGACCGAATCATTCCTATTATGGTCTTAGCATAATGACATTAGATAATATTGTGTTTTAAAGAACAAAAAGTAATTTTTATAAACAATTTTGTTTCTCTGATTTTGCAGCGATTACTGAAGTTATGGAAAATTAAACTCCAGTTTTAAATACCTTTTTTTCACCTTGTTTAAAAAAATGTTTTTTGAAAAAAAAATTTCCTTATTTTAAGAAAGTTATACTTTTTTAAAGGGACCACTAAGTCCAAAGACATGTTGTGTTCATGTTAAAGAAAATGTTAAAAAAAAACATCTGAGCAAATTTTTTTTGATTAAAACTAATTAATAAATGTATACCAAAAAAAACAAATCTTGTTGTTTTAGTCGAAGCTTGTCATTTCTGTCCATTTTCTGTGGTATTTGAAGTTTTTAAAAGAAACGTGATTTTCCAGATGCATTATACAGACTTGATAATTTATTCAAGTGCGTTTAATTCATAGAGGTTTTAGTACATGACGTCATAGATTTTTTTGTTTGTTTAAAACACCGATTAAAATTTTTTACATTCAATTTCCAAATCATATTAATTTTTATTATATTTTAAAGTTCTAAAATGTGTTTGCAAAAAAATTAAAAACAAAATAGTATTTTATTTGCGCAACTTTTTTTAAATAATCATCTAAACCACATGTATATTGATTTCTTTTGTTATAAGTTTTTCTTTCAAAATATTAGATAAAATAATTTTTAACCTAAATAATAATGCACTTTTATTAATATAATTTGTAAATATTAAAAAAAAATTATTAATGCATCTTTTCTCTGATTTTCAACAATGTATTTTTTTTGTATTGAGGTGATCTTATTTCATTATTTATATTTCCATTATTATAACATCCAATATATATTTTGGTGGGGGCTTAAAATATTTTACGGACATACATGGAAACATAATTTTCTTGAATGTTCTTAAAACATCTTGCAGAAGAATAAAAAGAATATTCATGAACACTAAAAACCTGCCAAGTTTACAAACAAACTAATACTATTGGTTTAAAAAATACGCTGACTAAGCAAAAAAAAGTTCTAGAGTATTCTGTTGAAATGTTTTAGCAATTGTATTATTCATAATTTGTTGCGTTTTGAGATATATAGCATAAATTGTTTTAAAAATATATTATCAAATGAACTATTACTTTAATATTATGGCTCGTTCTCGGAGCCACATCTGCAAAGCCGTAAATCTTTTAAATTATCATTTGTTTACAAAAATAAATATTTTATAATATATATTTTTTAAATTGTCAAAACTTTGACATATATTCTTATTTTTTATAACTCTTCCTAGTGCTTGGTTTAATTAATTGTTCGTTAGATTTGTCGAAACAACTTGCATTAAAATGTAAAGAACATACTCGTGAATCATCGGAGATATTATATAATCCCATTTGGTGCCATAGGGGTCTCTAGGTCCACCATCGCCATGGCCCATGTAGCCATGGCTCTGATAGCTACAAAAAAAACATAAAATATTTTTCAATGTGAAGATTTTAGAAAATAAAATAACTAACTATATTTAGCTATTTTAGTAAAATTTAATAGTAAAATTTTTAAAGAGTTTCTAGAATGTTTCTAATGACGTCATTTACTAAAACTTCTATGAATTAAACGCACTCAAATAAATTATCAAGTCCGTATAATGTGCCTGGGAAATCGCATTTATTTTAAAGACTCCAAACACCAAAAATGGAGCTTCAACTAAAATAACAAGATTTGTTTTTCTTGGTTTATTAATTAGTTTTAATCAAAAAAAATTTGCGCAGACATTTTTTAAAAAAATTCTATTTAATATGAACACAACATGTCTTGGGACTTGGTGGTTTCTTTAAACTTTTGCTATTTATTTCTTAAAACATTTACAGCAAAACATAATCCACTTTTTAGTTTTTTTTTTTTTTAATGAGAGGACATTTAAAAAAAAAACTAAAAAAAAAAACTAGCAAACAATTTTTTTACCTTTATATTTCCATTTTAACATTTTTAACATTTTCGCCTACTACTCATAACCTAGTTAATCAATTCTAATCAATGTTTATTCTAATATAAATCTAAAAACTTAATGATAATGGAAAAAACTTTTGTTAAAAAGCAATTTCAAGACTAAAAAAAATCTTTTCATAAGTTTGTTACATAAAGTTTACTAAAAAAAATTCTCTAAAGTAGTTTTGCCTACATGCTTGTAACAGGGTTATTACAGGCTTGATACAGGCTTGTTACAGACTTATTACAGGCTTGTTACAGGCCTGTTACAGGCTTGATACAGGATTGTTACAGGCTTGATATAGGCTTGTTACAGGCTTGTTACAGGCTTGTTACAGGCTTGTTACAGGCTTGTTACAGGCTAGTTACAGGCTTGTTACAGGCTTGTTACAGGCTTGTTACAGGCTTGATTATGGTTTATCTGACATTAATAAGCAGTTATGTGTGCATTAACCACTTTTATAAATTAGCACTTTTGTAAGGGGATGGAAAAATTTATTGACTTGAAACTATAAATAATAAATAATAATAAATTAAAATTCAGTAATAAAATTAAAACTATAAATAAAAGAAATAGTTGAATATAATACAAACATAACGTAACTACAATTAAATTTGATAAAAAGAATTGATAAAAATTTCTTAAGGGTTTGTCCATTCAAGATGCAGCTAACAAGCAGCTAACAATTTGTGGAGCTAAGCGAGTTTGTTAAGTTGTTTCAGCAGAAGTAGAGTTGCAAAACCATCTGTTGAACTAGTGCTGTTATTAATGGACAACCATGAAAGTCACATTTTATTTAAAATTGTAATATTTGTAAATGATAATTTTTTGATTTTATTAATATTTCCGCCACACTGCTGTCATATATTGCAGCCATTTTATGCTTCAGTGTTTGGGTCTATTAAAATTTATTTTAGATTGGCTTTTTTTACCAATAGGCATATACAGACTAATTTTTTTGTTTTGCTACTACTACAAGTCAACTACAAGTTAAAGTTAAGTAAACTATTGGTAAAGGTTAGGTCAACTACGGGTTAAAGTTAAGTCAACTACTGCTTGTGTTCAAGTCAACTTTGGGTAAAGGTTAAAGTCAACTATGGTTTAAAGTTAAGTCACCACACTATAAATATCACCAAGGTGATATTCATAGTGTGTTAAAAACTTAACCCATAGTTAACTTAATTGATAAATTTATACTTTACTATACTTACTATTTTATTCGAATAATAATTTTCATATACTATATTTATGTGTTTTAAATAATCTTTATATATTAAATTATATTTTTAATTGTTATATAATTATTTTATTAATTACACTAAGTATTTTTTTTAACTTGTTGAAATATTTTTTAGCTACTGTTGAAATAACATTTTATGATGGAATCAAGAAAAATATAAATAAAGCTTCATTGAAATCTGATACAGAGGTAATATATTAATATTTATTAAGAATTGAAATATTTTTTTATTACGAAAATGTTTATAGTGTTTTTATTTGTGTCAATAATGCCAAAAGAATTTCGATAGGAACATTTTAAGTATTAATTTAGAATATGCTATATAAAAAAATATTTGAGTAAAAAAAATTATAAACCTTTTTAAAACAATTTATGTATATCCCAGGCCTTGTTTTAAATAAAAAAGTGCTTTATGCATTAGCTTAACGCGATTTTGACGTCATAAAATTATCTTTATTTTTTTTTATAGGCGTTAAGTGTTTTAACTACCGCAATAAATAAATAACCGCAAACTAATTCAATTTAACAATTAACTCAAATATAAACTATAAACGTTTTAATTATAAATTTATTATGAAAATTTTGTAATGTTTTCAATTGTTATTTTATTATTAATTTTAGTTCAATATTATTTAGTAAAAAAAAATATATATATATTAATTATTTCTGAAATTTGTTTTTGAATAATTGTTTTTAATCGTTATTGAATAAAAAATAATAATGATTTTTTTTATTTTTAAAAATTTCTAGAGTAAACAAAAAATATTAACATTGATAAACACAAACCCATGTTAATTATTTAAACAACGATTTTGTTTTGACTAGCAAAGAAAAATTTAAGTTTTTAAATATTTTTTAAAATTTTTAAAAGCGTTTCAACTTGCGTTTTATAAAAATATAAAAAAGTTTTGTCTGCTTTGAAGCGTATTTTTGATACGTGGTTTAGAACGCGTTCGCTAGGAATTTAATTCATAAACTTTTTATGTTATTGTAAAAATATTTAACTTTTTAAACAAATCACAAAGAAACAGAGCTATAGAGAAAAATCGTTTTCAACAATTAAATCTTTTTTTTTTTTTAATTTTAGGAAATTAAAAAAAAAATTAAATTTAATATAAAAGTCTTAATTATGCAAACTCTTTTATTAATTATTCTTAAAACAAAAAAACAAATACTTGTACGCCAAACTTTAATCGTGCAAACTTATAAAAATACTCAGCTGAAATAATTTAAGTATATTTAATAATTTGAATCGTATCTGTTTATAATAAACGTTCGTAAAAATTTGTTTATTAAAAATTAAGTTCCTTAACTTATAAACAAACTCAAAAGTATTTTCATTCTACGTATAATTACAAAACTCTTTTTTTTTTTTTCGTTTGTAAGCAATTTAACTTAATAAAATAAAAAAAAGAATAAATATGAGGTAATCTTTGTTAAGAATAAATTTAATTTATTTATTGAACTATATTTTTATTTTTAATTATATATCAACTTAATTAAAATATAGTAACATGTTAAAATATTTTAACATGACTTGTATTATTTATAAACCGTTGGGCAGTTGCCCTTACGGCACTATTGTTTTTGGATAATATTTTATTTTGATGAAGATCACATAACTTACATTTGATTTTAATAACGTAAGCCTTCTCTTTTTCTGTGATCATCGCATTGGCAAAGTCCCAAGATTTAAAAGTTTTTAAAGTAAATCTTTTGTCCTTCAAAATACAATCCATATTCAAACTTTAAATAATTTAGAGATAATAGAAATATACAAGGTTTTTATATAGTAGTTTGTTTTGTTTTATAAAGAAAAATACATATTCATTAGTAAAAAATGGAGACTGTCATTAAACTAAAATGTGCCTTAGTATTTATTTAACGGAACCTGTAATGTGCGCGTGCATAATAAAACCTCCGTTATATAAATATATTCAACGTAATATTAGTGTCATCAGCGGATGTTGTAGTCTACTCATGATTTCTTTACCTTATATTATAACTTGATTTATGACAAAAAAAACTTATTGAATCGCACGCAGAAGAATTTTAACAAATTGTCTTCATTCAAATATTGCGAGTAACAGGTAATTTTTTTTTCTGTGCCTCCCCCTCCCCCTGCATAACTTAAACTATATACTAATAAACTAATAAGAAAAGCTATATACTATTAAACTAACTATAAGCTATATACTATTAAACTAATAAGAAAAGCAAAGACATTTTTTTTAACATCTCGAAAAAATGTCTTGATATTTTTGTTATCATGATAACAAAAATATTAAGACATTTTTTGAGATTTTATTAAAAAAAATGTCAATTCTTAATTACAAATTTTTTTGCAAATGTTTTTTATTATAAATTCAGTAAAAAATTCATAAAAAATCTATATTACAAAAAACTTTTATATTCTGTATTAATAAATATGGAATATAGATTTTTTAAAAGTTTTTTACTAAAAACTTTACTACTTTTTATTAAAAACATTGCAAAAAATTTGTAGTTAAGGATTGACAAACAATTTTTCATGTTGCTAAATATTTGGATAAAAAGTTTAGCGTCAAATTAATTGCTATAAAAAGGAAAGATATATCGCGATGAAAAGTTACAACAATTAATTTTAAAGTAAATTCTTTTTTTTAATAAATACCTTTACATATCGTTATTTAAAAGTTAATGTGGTTTTTTTGAAAATTAATTACTTCTTTTATGTTACCGCTAATTTAAAAGTTAAAAAATGATAAAAAGTAGCTTAACCAAAACAGCTCTACGCGTACGTAAAAAGCGCTTAAGGCGTTTGAAATCGCTCTAGGCGTAACGCTTTAAAACAAGGCCTGATATCCTTAATTGATGTCTCAATTATCATTATCAAACAAGGCCTGATATCCTTAATTGATGTCTCAATTATCATTTGTATCATGCTCAACTCTGCGCAGCTGTTTTGTTCCTTAAGGCTTGTGTTTGGAGTTTTTAATCAAATTCACTTTACTGATTGGTGTATCTTTAATTAAATTATGTATTGCAGTTATTGTTAAAATCAAAATAATTACCTAATGTTCTTTCTAAATTTTTTAAGTAATTTTATAATTAATACTTCATTAAATACGTCAATGCAAATTATGAATTCAATACTTAATATATATTATGATATATTATTGAATTTATTTTTTCGATATTATGATCTTTAAAAAACATTTATAGGTTTATAATTTTTCTTATGAAAAATATCATAAAATGTCTTCAAATATATACTTAGTTTTCAAAGCAATGTTGTTAGAGTTATTATGCAAAATACTATTAAAATTTGCATCAAATTTTTACACGACAAATTTGAAGCGATTTGTTTAAATTGAGTTTGTGCAAACATAAATATAGTAAATATAAAAATATTTGTGGATTTTTTTCAGAATGTCAATAAAAATTGCCAAAAGGCCCATATTTAGGTTAAAAAGTGTCAAAAGGCCCATATTTAGATAAAAAGTGAAAAGCCCAAGTGGGAATCCTGCATGACCTCTGGGGCCATCACACCCCTGTTCTACAAAGTTGTAGATAGAATTTAATTCTGAATTTAAATATTCGTAGTATCACATCTCTAGGTTGAGAAAAGTCAAGAAATATAGTCTCAATATAAAAAAATACTTTTTTTTTCCATTTATATTGAAAGTGTCTTAAAAAAATGTTAGAAATGGTTTTTTTCTTTTTTTTTTTGTACCTTCAAGGCAAAACAAAACATTCAATCCAGCCCAAATATGACAACAGTATTTCATATAAGAGATTTGTAGAGGTGGAGAATCGAATCAAAAGTAAGAAAATGACCAGAGGCAACCTTAGCATATTTTAACTTTGCAATTAATTGTATATATGGTATCTATCAGAGTTCAGTAGAAATGTGGTCATAAGCAGGAATGATTTAGATGTATAACAATGGAATAATGTGGTCTTTTGATTCAAAAAATCAATTAAAGGAAAAACTCTTAGAAAATATTTTTTGCCTTATCTTTAAGCCAGGTAATATAATCAGACCCATGTATAAGAAATAAAATGTTTGGCTTTCCTTTGTTAATAATATTGTTAAAGACTTTCCAAAAGTCTCTAAAATTTCTGAGATAAAATATGAGGTTTATTAATTTAGAGTATAATGGACCTTAGCATCATAATCGTCCATCTTAATGGACCTGAGCAACCTTATATAATGGACCTTAGCATCAGACTTTTTGCATCTTGCAATAAGAAAAAAGATGTTTGTTCAAGTTCTTGTATAAAAGATGAATAAAAGGATTATGATTAGCAGCTGGAAAAAAATCATGGTGTAGAATGAGACATGAAACCAAAAAAAAGCAATAAAGCTTCCATGCCTGTTTGAATCTAGACATTTCTATAGTTTAATTTTCAGCAATGATTAAAAAGACATTAGCCCACGAACATAAAAAAGAAAACTACAAAAAGGATCAGAGTCACTCATTAAAGTAATATTAAGAAGTGCAATGAATTTAATGTAGAAGTAGTACAAAATAAAAGGTTTTGTTTAATATTGTT